CACACTAAATTATTGTTTTGCTTTGATTGAAACATAGACAAGTAATCTTTTATACAATTAAATCCAATAGTGGAAGTAACAAATATTTATTTAATAGTCATACACACTTGCTACTGATAAGAACTGTAATTAAAATATATCATTTCAATTTATTTGCAGCTTTGATTTTATAGTGTAATGATTACCCACAATGATACAGTATGTTGTAAAATGCCCTTTTTTGGTTACAACAATCTAATATTATTCCAAATACGCATTAGATTTAAAAGAGCATCGTAGACAGTTTGCATCATAGTTGTACCTCATTCTCCATATCAAAAGTTGCTTCATTAGGTGCTTTCTATGATAAAAAATATATTAAAAGGTAAAAGCTTTATCTTCTTTTCTCCCTCATCATCAATCACTGAACATTGTGGTAAAAACTGACCTGGACTTAATTCTTTTATGTTCTATAAGGTTCATGTTTGAATGTAGTTAACATGAATGTTTTGGGTCTAACTTGTCAGCTTCATAATGGAAAAATAAATGAAACAGCAATCAGTTATATCAGTTAGTACTTGGAAATATTAACCTCTGTAAGAAAACATAATATGAATTTTTCATGAATGTCAGTTAATAAAATAAATTTACGAATACAAAGCAAAAAACATGTGTAGGTGCAATTTGATCCTTTGTACTAGGATTGAAAAATGTGCTGAAATTCTCACTTTAAAAGGCATCAAATGTTTTGATTAAATCATTAATATAATAATAATTGTTGTTAATTGCTTCATGAGAGGTTATCTCTGATTGAACATTGCTCAGGATGGAAAACAAAATTACAGCTGTTGCCCAAATCTAAAATTGCTATCCATTTTAATATTAAAGAAACAGACTTTAATATGTGCAGCAGCGGTGGGATTCACTTACTTTCCCTACCAGTTTGCAAATGTGAGCGCATGCATGCCTGCACATGTGCACTTCCTTCTGTGCATGCGCAGTGCTTCCGCATTACATCAGGGTGGGTGGGCGGAGCCTCCCACAGCCACCGCTAGTGGTTTGCCCGAATCGGAGAGAACTAGCTGAATACCACCTCTGATGTGCAGCATCTAAAATTACAATGTGTGTGTGTGTGTGTGTGTGTGTGTGTNTATGCGTATGTATGTGTATGTATGTGTATGTATGTGTATGTATGCATGCATGCATGCATGCATGCAGTGTATCAAAACCAGGTATATTTATAAGGTATTTGACATTTATTGCATGGAAACTCTGTCATTTTTATTAGGCCTTTGATTTTTATTTTATCTCAATAGATTTCCATGAGAGAAAGTAGTCTTTTCAATATAGCTTAAAGGGTAAATTAAAGGTAATTTTTTTTAAAAAAAAAACACCACACAAATTCTTTCAGTCATGCTCAGCTAGTCCACTGGAGTGGGTGGCTATATAGTCACAACAACTACAGAGTGTCGGTTCTTCACATCTGAGGCTACAAATATGCTTCAGATTGGACATGGGCTTCTTTAAGGAGGTCGTATTAAATCTATGGCATCCTCCTTTTGGCTGAATCTTTTCCTGGGTTCATGCAGTAGCTACTAGTTCTCTGGAGACATTGGCAGCACCCCTATCCTCTTTCCAAATAACTCATTGCAAAATTTTATGGACACACACAAAGATTGTCTACAGAGGGGCCAAGAGGGGTAGCTTGCATTGTCATACATGAGCTTCAAATCTCAATTTATTGGCACAGACATTTTATTTATTATTCAAATTTATTTATGTGCCCATCTGCCCCAAAGGGGGCTCTGAGCAGTGCACAGTAATAAATAAGTCAGCTGATACAAAACAGATAAAAATCTAAAAAGTCACAATAAGTAGGATCAAAAGTAAAAATTTCATGGAATAACGCTGTGGATATTGGTTTATGACTGACTTCTTTTAGGATATTTTCCCAGTCCAAATGCTAACCAGTTCCAACCTTGGTATACAAACAAGATCAGGTCAAGTTAATAATAAAGAGGTGGGTTTCAAATGTTTTTAGAACCTCTTCACTAGGTGTGGCCTGCTTTGTGGGAGTGGCTTGCTGGCCATGTGACTGGGTGGGAGTGGCTTGGCAGTCATGTGACTGCATGGGCGTGGCCAAAATGTTGCTCAGAAACTGGCATTTGAAGCATGCAAGTCTTAAAGCTGTCAAGTTACAAGACCCTTGCACCGCTAACTCTTTAGAAAAAACCCTAGGGGTATTCAAACTTGACAGCTTTAAGACTTGTAGACTTCAACTCCCAGAATTCCTCCTCCAGTCATGTTGGCTCAGGAACTCTGGCACTGAAGTGTGCAAATCTTAAAGCTATCAAGTTACAAGACCCTTGCACCCCTAATCCTTTAGAAAAAAAACCCAGGGGTGTTCAAACTTGACAGCTTTAAGACTTGCACACTTCAATGCCAGAAATCTCCTCTCACTCTTCATCTTGATGATGTGCAGATGAGTGGGAGGAGGGAGCTGGAACCGGCTCTAAAGGTCATTGTAGATTTGTGGAACCTCTTCTATAGAAGAGGTTAGAACTGGCAGGAACCCACCCCTGATAAAGATACTACTGAAAGTGAACAGTCTGAAAACTCTAATAAAACAAATCAAGGTGAGCAGTGAAAAAATGGAACTAAAATTAAATATAAAGATGACCAAACTAATGACAATAGGCACAACAACCAATTTTAGAATTAACGATGAATATGTTAAAGGGCAGAAGCCATCTACCATTTTAGGATCAAAACTCAACAGTAAAGGAACAACTGTTACATATACCGCAGACTATATGCAGAATAGCATATATACAGAATTCCCATAATGGCTATGGGAAAAATGTTCAGATGCTCTGTTATGTTTATATCTACAAAGATCAGAATAGTGCAGGCAATGATATCCCCCAGGATATTAAATGGAAGTGAATGTTGGATTTTGAAGAAGTCAGTTTCAAAGAGTATTGTTGATGTTGGAGAAAACTCCTGAGAATACCATGGATAGCCAAGAAAACAAAACAAAACAAAAGAATGAATCAATGAACAAATCTCCAGGGTTTCACTTAAGGCACAAATGACCACTCTCAAATATCCTACTTCAGACCTATTATGTGAAGACCTGTAGAGTAGCAGTCACCAAACTTTGCAGCGTTCAAGCTGTGGTGGGAAAGGAGAACTGGGCTGTGCAAACAAGTGGGCTGGCATGTGCATGTGTGCACAGCTCCACTTGCAATGTGCTGATGCGCATATGCATGCATGCAGGTCAACTTGGGTAAATTGAGCTGCACATGTATGAGGTTCCAAATAGGCCACAGCTCAACAGTGGCCCATGGGCCAGGGGTTGAGGACCCCTGGTTTAGAGAGCTCTCTAGAGAGGGCTCTGATGGTGGGAAAGGTGGAAAGAAAGAGAAGACCATCACTAAGGTGGACAGCAAGGGGTACACTCTTGGGAGATCTAAAGGATCAGGTTGGAATCAATTCATCCTGGAGAAGACCTATGTGGTTGCTCAGGAATGATACTGATTTGTAGGACCATTATTAAATATTAATATTTCAATGGGTCTGCAAAAACTGGAATGTAAAGTTTTAATCAACTTTGGTTCTTGCTTTGGTTGTCTCATACAAGGAGTAATTTCTAAGCACTCTACAAAGCAGTCATCCAAAAAGCCCATTGCATTAATCCAGATATATTGTAACTAAATCATATGTTATCCTGGTCAGTCTAAAGTCTCAAGAAACCTACCTAAATTGGGCAAAAGCATGCAGTTTAAATATCCCACACTAAATTATTGTTTTGCTTTGATTGAAACATAGACAAGTAATCTTTTATACAATTAAATCCAATAGTGGAAGTAACAAATATTTATTTAATAGTCATACACACTTGCTACTGATAAGAACTGTAATTAAAATATATCATTTCAATTTATTTGCAGCTTTGATTTTATAGTGTAATGATTACCCACAATGATACAGTATGTTGTAAAATGCCCTTTTTTGGTTACAACAATCTAATATTATTCCAAATACGCATTAGATTTAAAAGAGCATCGTAGACAGTTTGCATCATAGTTGTACCTCATTCTCCATATCAAAAGTTGCTTCATTAGGTGCTTTCTATGATAAAAAATATATTAAAAGGTAAAAGCTTTATCTTCTTTTCTCCCTCATCATCAATCACTGAACATTGTGGTAAAAACTGACCTGGACTTAATTCTTTTATGTTCTATAAGGTTCATGTTTGAATGTAGTTAACATGAATGTTTTGGGTCTAACTTGTCAGCTTCATAATGGAAAAATAAATGAAACAGCAATCAGTTATATCAGTTAGTACTTGGAAATATTAACCTCTGTAAGAAAACATAATATGAATTTTTCATGAATGTCAGTTAATAAAATAAATTTACGAATACAAAGCAAAAAACATGTGTAGGTGCAATTTGATCCTTTGTACTAGGATTGAAAAATGTGCTGAAATTCTCACTTTAAAAGGCATCAAATGTTTTGATTAAATCATTAATATAATAATAATTGTTGTTAATTGCTTCATGAGAGGTTATCTCTGATTGAACATTGCTCAGGATGGAAAACAAAATTACAGCTGTTGCCCAAATCTAAAATTGCTATCCATTTTAATATTAAAGAAACAGACTTTAATATGTGCAGCAGCGGTGGGATTCACTTACTTTCCCTACCAGTTTGCAAATGTGAGCGCATGCATGCCTGCACATGTGCACTTCCTTCTGTGCATGCGCAGTGCTTCCGCATTACATCAGGGTGGGTGGGCGGAGCCTCCCACAGCCACCGCTAGTGGTTTGCCCGAATCGGAGAGAACTAGCTGAATACCACCTCTGATGTGCAGCATCTAAAATTACAATGTGTGTGTGTGTGTGTGTGTGTGTGTGTGTGTTCGTGTGTCTTTGTGTGTGTCTTTGTGTCTGTGTAAAAATCTCTTGAAAAGAGGATGTTTTAATGCACTCTTACAATCATTCCTTTCTTTCTAGACATACTTTCCAGTCTTAACTCACCTGCCCTTTTTGGGGACCAGGACACTGTAATGAAAGCAATTCAGGAGGCTCGAAAGATGAGAGAACAAATCCAGCGGGAGCAGCAGCAGCAACAGCAGCAACCACATATTGATGGAAAGCTTCCCTCCCTGAATAGTATGGGCCTAAACAACTGTAGAGCTGAAAAGGTAACACAATAGCTCTTCCACCCTTGTTGCTGCTGAATTTATTTGCAAGGTTTACCTGGGGAATAGCTACTTAATTCCAGGAAGCAATTTCAATATTACAATTTTTAATCATTTGTTGTAATGATTGTAATGTAGGTCCTTGAGGGTCTGGGGGAAAAAAGAAAGGGTAGAACTGGATTGACCAGAACAATATTTTTCCACAAGGAAAGTTTATTCAGGGGCCCAGTGGCACCATCAGAGAATGTCATTCCCCACTCTCATTCTGCACTGTATGAGAATCAATGTATGTATTACAAATTAGCCAAAGTTTCATTTGAATAATGGCAGATGATTCAGACGGGTGAGTAATTAAGACCCCTGTCCATATCTTTCCTCAGTCATATTCTGTGAGTGATGTCTCAAAAAAAACTTTAAGACTTCTTATATTTTTCCCAAGTTAGAGAAATATCATATGGTACAAATAGTAGCAATATGGATTAGAGTTGTCTTTCTTGATTGGATACTGGGCCTAGTATCCATTTGCCTAGTTTCTCCTTTCCAGTGACATACTCCCAATAAGCAAAGTAGGAATATACAAAGAATTATTTCTGATAGCTGCAACTTCACATTTCAATTGGTATTTAATGGCATACTGCTAGGGTATGCTAGGTCACCTGGCATTTCAGTAGAGTCATAATAGCTCAGTAGAGGTTACTTTACTTAATTTCTCACAGTACTACTATGGTGCCTTGTCAAATGATCTAACTGTTATTTTGGAAGGTTAAAAAAATTAACACTTTTCTTTTTCTTCTGTTTTTCTGAAACAAAAAGAAAGTATTTCAGGCCCTTGATAATTTTCTGCATCTTGTTGGTCTCTAAAACCAGAGCTACAAAAATCCAGACAACCACTAGGTGGCAGGAAAGAATCATAGTAAAACCTGTATTTTTGCCATCCCCTATTGATGATGTAAATATTTACACCTCAGATGTGCCAACTCTTTTATTAATTAGGGCAGGATTCTATTTGTATAGCAAACTTTCATTTAAACTCATCTTTGTGTGTGTGTCTCTGTGTGTGTGTGTATGTAGATACATACATAAATACACACCACATTCCTGAATATAACATATTCAGAATGGCTGTTCTGAATTTTTCAGAACTAAAGCTTGCACACTTGATGTAGAGTTCAAAAGACCAAGATGAAGAGAACAAGGAATGCATGCACAAGCTTTAGCTGAAGCCCTGCCTTTCTTCTGTCTTTGAATAACATTCCTGGTGTGCAGTTTAATTGGGAATTCTAGATATTTATGGTGTTTTAATATCAGATATAGGGACACGGTGGCTAAGTGGCTAGGATCCTGAGTTTGCCGATCAGAAAGATCAGCAGTTCAGCGGTTCAAATCCCTAGTGCATGTAATACTTAGCCCAGTTTCTGCCAACCTAGTAGTTCAAAAGCATGTAAAAATGCAAGTAGAAAAATAGGAACCACCTTTGGTGGGAAGGGAACAGTGTTCTGTGCACCTTGGACATTGAGCCATACTGGCCACATGACCACGGAGACGTCCTCACACAGTGCTGGCTCTTCAGCTTTGAAACGGAGATGAGCACAGCCCCCTAGAGTCAGGAACGACTAGCACGTTTGCAAGGGAAACCTTTACCTTAATTTCAGATATAGATATTTCGTACAAGAGAGTTACATTTTAGAAGAATCATTAGGAAAAATAATCTACATATGTAAGGAGGTAGTGTTGTTTAGTTAGCAATTTACTCTGCAGACTTGGACAAGGTTTTTTTGGTTTCACTTACAGGCTTTTGGACAAACAAACTAGATAAGAATCTATTGTAGTGTTTTGGTAGCAAAGTAATGGAAGCAGGCAATTCTCTCTAAAGAATACAGATATAATCTATGAAATAATTTGAGATATAGTATGTCTATAATTTGCTTCTTTGCAGGATTGGTAAGAGCATTTTTCTGATACCACATGAATCATTATTTCCTGTACAGTAATACCAGACTATATACAATTGTTATTATTCTGGGTGACTCAGGACAAAACGTTTTTCAGCCTTTCAACAGAAGACAGGATTATAAAATGGAGCAGGGGTGGGGAGAGAAATAGATTATCAGTAACATGCTATCTTTCACAGTCTCCATCTCAATGAAATGTGAAATGAAAAATATAGTTAAGTCTTGTAGTATTAGTAATAGTTTTTATTACAGATCACTGCTGTGGTATTATTGTTATTGATCAGGATTTAGTGAGTTTATAACTACGTGTGTGTGTATTAATATTATTCATAATCTCCCTCTCCCTCTCTTTCTCTCTCTCTCTCTGTGTCTCATAAACAGCCTTGAGAATAGATCAGGAGAAATATTGAAATGTCTTAATGTTAGTGCTCTTCAATGTTAGTGCTCTTTTAGGAAAATTACTTTTGTATCTTGCTACCCAAAAGTTATACTCAGGAACCCTGCGAGTAAGGTAGATTGATCTCATTGGACTTCCAAATTCTTAGGTCATTATTTGACTGCAGTAAATACCTGATCATGGCTTATCCTCAGAATGGCTTCTCTTGCTTTGGTATTGTGAATAAGTAAATAAAAGTCAGCTTAAGTGAATGTTGTAGCATGCTTGAAGAGATCAACATTGGCTCCTGTGGTATAGTCTACCAAACAGTTGATAAGTTGCATAGTTGGGTTCTTTTTGCATTTTACTACTACTACTACTACTACTACTACTACTACTACTACTACTACTACTACTTCCTCTTCCTCCTCCTCCTTCTTCCTAGCATATTCCCACAGGTGCAGGGTCTGCTTTTTAGGTCATTGAGCACCACTTTGTACGGTCAACATGGTGCAGGCCCGCGGCTTGCATATCTTTGTTGATGGTGGCTTGCCATCTCTGTTTCGGATACCTGCGTGGTCACCAGCCACTGACTTCTAATTGATAGGCAGTCTTGGCCATAGTGGAAGGTGCTTCTCTTTGGACATGTCCATAGCAGTGGAGTAGGCCACTTATTTGTACTGTTTCAATCCAGGCAATCCTTGGCTGTCAGTGAGTCAAGAATGTGGGGCACTAGTAGCCATTTTCCAACTCATTCCCAAAGGGAGGAACATAGAGGCCTGAGATTCATTACTCAGTTGCAAGCACAAAGGGAAAAGTGTTCTGTAGATAGAACTGTCAAATATGTGTTTTCATTTGAATTTATATGTTGCCTTGTTAGATTTCTCGGAACAACGGGGGTAAAATGGATCCATGCCCATAAAACGGATTTACATAGCTTCTTGCCCCCAGAGGATTAACCATGGTTTGCAAAACATATTTATAATCTAATAAATATTTATCTGCACAAGATGTGATTTAAATGATAGCATTTTAAAACTCATTTAACACAGAATCCCATTGTGAAATAATTTTTATAACAGCAAGAAAAAAAAAAAAGCTGAAAGGGTGGTATACAATTTCTTATTAAAGGCAGCCTTGTGATATCCACAGACTCTTCTGAAGACCAGATTTCAGTTTGGAAACAACCCTGACCACAGTTAGAACCTTTTATTGGTTGCTTTCTAAATCTGTTTTTGCAAAACCATTGAAAATAAATGAATTATTCTGTGCATGTGCATGTAGACATTATATTGTTCCAAGTAATCCTTGATCGTGTTAATGAGTGGTCTGGGATAGTTCTAGATAGTTACACAAAGTAACACCCACAGAACCGGTAGTAAAAAAGAAGTTAGCCTGAACTTCCATGATCCTTAAATATCCACTGAGACTATTTGAACAATCTATCTTTTTTTTTCACAGACCTTATGAGCAGTCCTATTTATGCCTTTTCAGAGCTCATCACTCAAAGTTTTTGACTTTTAGTCAAGCTAGTAGGTTCCTTAAGGAGAATAGATTTTCTGCCAGTCTACAATCTGCCTTTTTGTCATTTAATTATCATGCCTCTTGTGTTCAACTTGAGCATGGCAGTATATTTTTACACAATCTTTCTTTCCCCATTCATACTACAGACCATGGGCCATTCAATTGCTTTTCAACTCTAAGGATGTTCCTGCATTTTGTTTTCATATATTTCAGTCATATCCACTTACCCCGTCCCCACTTCTTCTTAAAGTTAGCACAGTTCTCCTAATTTTTTCTTGTGGGCCTTGGTTTCCACAAATCCATTTTACCTACATTTATCTTTTCTTTTATGTGAAGTTCAAGATACGTGGAAAGCTAGCACTCCAAAATAAACAGTTGAAAGATAATGAAGAATGTTGACTATATTGCTATTTGTTTTATGTTTTACATTTTGATCGTACCTTTCTCTGAAAAATACCTTTTAAAAAATGATAATGTGTTTTAAAGAAAATTAGGAAATCAGTGATGTACTAAAAGATTCATTGGAAGAAAAATATTTTGATGCTCCTTGAAAAGTGATAGGTAACAAGATTTGTTTTCATTCATCTTGGGGAATAGTTCTAAAAGTTAGATTTTTTTAAAAAAAGTTAATTTGCCATAGTGGGAGCATTCGGAAAAAGACCTTAGAGAAGAAATGATGTACTCATACTTATCTAAGGTGAGCATCTAAAGATGTTGAATAGAAATCAAGATGTGTTCAAGTAGTTCCATGGTTTCTCTGTGAAAGCCTTGTGCAATATACAGGTAAAGCACATTATAGTTGCAATAATTCACACTGGAGGTAAGAATGGACAGGAATAATAATGAATAGGAATATGGACGGAATATTTTTTCTCACTTAAATTTTGATAAAAGTTTAACAAATGCACATGTGAATTAAGTCACATTATTTCCATGAAATTTACAAAAATTATATCAGTTGGAATGTATTTGTAAAGGAAAAATTGTACAATTTAAAACATTTGCAATAAGGTCTATATTACAAAGCATTACATGTGTGTATATAGGAATGCAGACAAAATAATTATGAATTGTAGGATATATATTGGAAAAGTGAGAAACCAAAACAAGTAAAATCTATCTGCTCTTAGCTAGCTAAACGTTCTGTGGCT